TTTGGGGGGGGGTTGGGGTTTGGGGGAGGGTTTAGGGTTTGGAGGGGGTTTTGGGGTTTGGAGGAGGGTTTGGGGGTTTGAGGGAGGGGTTTAGGGTTTGGAGGAGGGTTTAGGGTTTGGAGGAGGGTTTAGGGTTTAGAGGAGGGTTTAGGGTTTGGAGGAGAGTTTAGGGTTTGGAGGAGGGTTTAGGGTTTAGAAGGGTTGAGAAGGGTTTAGAAGAGCCTCCTAGAGCTCAAAAGAGCCTCTGAGAGTCCCTGCAAGCGGTTCCGGCCGCAACTAGGGTTTAGGGTTTAGGGTTTAGGGTTTAGGGTTTAGGGTTTAGGGTTTACTCTGGCGTGGAGAGCATCTCCGGAAGAGTAAACCCCCTTCATTTCGTTGAGGACAACTCCTTGGAGTTTGAGTTGGCAGCGAAAAGGGTTTTCGAGGCAAACCCCACAGTCTTTGGCGTAAGCAGCAAGTTCCTTCTCCCGCTGCTGCTGCTGCTGCTGCTGCTGCTGCTGCAGCTCCTGCTGCTGCTGCTGCTGCTGCTGCTGCTGCTGCTGGGAGCCGAGCAGCTGGAGCTGCTGCAGGCGCCGCTGCAGCTCCCGACGCGCCTCCCCCGCACCCGCCCCCGCCCCCTGCTGCTGCTGCAGCAACCCCCGCTGCTGCTGCTGCTGCTGCTGCTGCTGCTGCTGCTGCTGCGGCAGCAGCTCGAAGCGCCAGCCCTCCTGGCGCAGCGGGAGGCGGTCTGCTGCAGCAAAAGGGCGGAAGACAGCGTCGAGGAAGACAGCAGCAAAGTTGAAGAGGTCCTTGGAGTGTACAGACGCCGCGGGAAAAGCAGTTCTGTCGGGAAATGTAAAAGCATTCAAAAAAGAAAAAGTTGAACTTTTCAAAAGTTCCAAAAAAGGTTCTTTTAAAGGGAACTGCTGCGACCCCAGCAGCACGGCGTGTTCCAGGATGTGTGGGGCCCCACAGCTGTCAGCAGCCGGCGTCCGCAGAGCTATCATGAAGGCCTTTTCCTCCGCTGCTGCTGCTGCTGCTGCTGCTGCTGCTGCTGCTGCTGCTGGCTGCAGCAGCGTCACCTGCGCCCCAGAGTGCCGGTGCCGGTAGCTAGCTATGGCTAGCTCGTACTCCTCCACGAAGGCGTCCCGCAGCAGCTCGAACTCCGGGTGCTCTGCTGCTGCTGCTCTGCTGCTGCTGCTGCTGCTGCTGCTGCTGCTGCTGCTGCTGGGGGGGGGTGCAGCGGGCGGCGCTGCTGCTGCTGCTGCTGCTGCGGACGCAGGCGGCGGGCACTCCGCCGCGCTCGACAAACACGAACTCCGGGACTCCTCCGGGGCCCCCGCAGCAGCAGCACCTGCTGCTGCTGCTGCTGCTGCTGCTGCGGGTTTGCTGCTGAAAGCAGAGGCAGCAGCAGGAGCGAAGAAACGCGAACAAACGGCCCCGAGGGGCCCCATGGGGGGCCCCGCAAAGGCAGAGACAAAAGGGGACTGCAGGGCCCTTGCTGCAGCTTGAGATGCTGCTGCAGCAAAGGGCAGCAAAGGGGACAGCATCTTGCCGTGCTGCAGCAGCAGCAGCAGCAGCAGCAGCAGCAGCAGCTGCGACGGAACCCGCCGCAGCGACGGGACCCACGCAGCAGCAGCACGCAGGCGGCAGCCCCGGCGACGGAAGCTCAGCAGCCTGCTGCTGCTCAGAGGTGCTCGCGAAGTCCCGCTGCTGCTGCTGCTGCTGCTGCTGCTGCTGCTGTTGCTGCTGCTGCTGCTGCTCCCGCGACTATGCATCATAGAGAGGCAGCAAACAGGCCAGCTGCGGCGCAGGGAGCCGACGGCAGAAGAAAAGGGACAAAAAGGGAACTGCAGCGAAACAGTGCTGCTGCTGCTGCTGCTGCTGCTGCTGCTGCTGCTGCTGCTGCCTTGCGATGCTGCTGCTGCTGCTGGACTACGGGGGCGCTGCGGAAGGCAGGGAGGAGCAGCAGCAGCAGCAAACAAAGAGACTTTAGGAGAGCTATGGAGGCCGAAAATGCCAAATGTTATCTATAGATTAGGCGGGAAAGAAAGAATGCTGCATATTCTGCTGCTGCTGCTGCTGCTGCTGCTGCTGCGCGCTGCAGCAGCGCCCAAGGTTTGTCAATCCCAGAGCTTGGCTCCGTTTGTCTGCGCAGCAGCAGCTTCCTCCAGCTCCTCCAAACTCTTTTTGTTTTATTTTTGTTCTTTTATTTCAATTTAATTAATTCCATTTAACAGGCAAAAGCTGCTGCTTCCCAACGGACACCCCGCTGCAGTCGGCGCTGCTGCTGCTGCTGCTGCTGCTGCTGCTGCTGCCACGCTGTACATACACCTGAACGTAACGCAGCTACTTCCAAGTCCAGGGGTCCATCACTTTTAATTAAAACTTCTTTTCTGATCTAAAGATACTTCTAATTCTCCAGCTGTTGCTGCGCAGCCCCTCTGCTGCTGCAGCAGAGTTGCTGCTGCAGCGCAGCAGCAACTCTAACAAACCCTGCTCATCTCTTAGGCTCTCTTCTCCCCATTTTAAAACCCCCAGGCGCTGCAGCCATCCACTTAACAAACCCCTCAAACCCAGGGGCCCCCCAGCTGTGCGAGGGGCCCCACAGGGGCCCCTGGGGGGCCCCTGTGGGGCCCTGGGGGGCCACCGAGAGGGCCCCCTAGGGCCCCCCGGGGGCCCCCAGGGGGCCCCTGGGGCACTGGATGAGCACTCTGGAACCCAGGGGGCCCTTCAGGCAGCCTTGGGGGCCCCAAGGGGCCCCTTGGGGGCCCCCTGGGGGCCCCCGGGGGCTTCTCGGGGGCCCCTTTTGGGCCCTGGGGGCCCCTTGGGGCCCCCAGGGGGCCCCTCGGGGGCCCCCGGGGGCCCCTGGGGGCCCCTTCGGGGCCCTTGGGGGCCCCCTTGGCGCTGGCATTATTGGGGGAGAAAGAATAGCGCTGTGGGGTTTAGTCTTTAGGGGATAAGTATCTCTAAACCCTAAACCCTAGATTAGGGCCAAACCTAGGGTTTAGCTAACACTAAACCCTAAACCCTAGATTAGCCAAGGGATGAGCCGCTCTAAACCCTAAACCCTAGGCCAGTCTCATACCTAGGGTTTAAGCAACTCCAAACCCTAAACCCTAAACCCTCTCTTTCGACTAATTCGCCCTTCCAGTGTTCATATATGTTGTGCAGGGAGTTACGGCTTAACGTTAGGGTTTAGGGTTAGGGTTTAGGGTTTAGGGTTTAGGGTTTAGGGTTTAAGAGGTTGGCGCTAAGCCTCCTCCTCGAGTCCACTGGGGGCTGGCTCTGAGTCTCTCAGGTAGCAAAGGAAAAGCAGAACAGCAGCAGCAGCAGCAGCAGCAGCAGCAGCAGCAGCAACAGCAGCAGCAGCAGCAGCAGCAGCAACAGCAGCAGCAGCAGCAGCAGCAGCGGGATGTTTGAGGTCTTTGGCCACCAGCAAAAGGGGATTAGGGCCTTTAAGTCACTGGCCCAGGGTACTCCCGCTGCTGCTAGCTGCTGCTGCTAGCTGCTGCTGCTAGCTGCTGCTGCTAGCTGCTGCTGCTAGCTGCTGCTGCTAGCTGCTGCTGCTGCAACCGGCAACAAACTGGACCTTGGGGTCCCCCAGGATTCTCTAGGCCCTGGGGGCCCCCATGGGGGCCCCCCGGGGCCCCTGGACACTATAAGCCCTGGGAGCTCCCCTGGGGGCCCCCCTGGGGGCCCCCCTGGGGGCCCCCCTGGGGGCCCCCTGGGGGCCCCCCTGGGGGGCCCCCTGGGGGCCTGGTTTGTGCCTGGCAGCAGCACACAGCAGCAAAGAAGGGCTCTACAGTCACTGGGGGCCCCCAGGTAAGCTTGAGAGGCCCCTTGGGGGCCCCTAGGGGGCCCCCAAGGGGCCCCCCGGGGGCCCCTGGGGGGCCCCTGGGGGGCCCCTGGAGTGCTGCTCAGGGGCCCCTGAGGGGCCCCTGAGGGGCCCCTGAAAGAAATGGAAAGAAAAGAAAAGCCCCAAAATGGCGGCGCATGCATGCAACACTTTAGGGTACTGGGGGGCCCCCCTGGGGGCCCCCCAGTACCCTAAAGGCCCGCAGCTGAGCGCTGCCTTTTCATTCTTTAGCTGCATGCAAACTGCCATAGTCGTTTAATTTTCAATTGTGCATTCTAGGGTTTAGGGTTTAGGATTTGGGGTTTAGGGTTTAGGGTTTAGGGTTTGGGGTTTAGGGTTTTGAGTGGCCGGAGGGGGCCCCTGGCGGTGCCTCGTTTCAGCCCCTGACGAAGAGCGCAGGAACTTGGCGAAATCTCCCCAAATACAGACCTTTCAGGGTTTAGGGTTTAGGGTTTAGGGTTTAGGGTTTAGGGTTTAGGGTTTAGGGTTTGGCAGATGCTGTGACGCCTCATGTCCCGCCTGCTGAAGGTGGCCCAGGGCCCCGCCCCTCCAATGCTCGCGCCGTTGCGGCGGCTGCAGCTGCTGCGTGTGGCTTTGCAGCAGCAGCAGCTGCTGCTGCTGCTGCAGCAGCAGCAGCTGCTGCTGCTGCAGCAGCAGCAGCAGCAGCGACGCTGGCAGCTGGGCCTTTCTGGGGGCCCCCCGAAGCAGCAGCACGAGCAGCAAAAAGCCTCGGGGAGAACTCTAGCTGGCGAAGCGCGCACTTGGCTTCCTAGCAGCAGCAGCTGCAGCAGCAGCAGCTGCAGCAGCAGCAGCAGCAGCAGCAGCAGTCGATGGCTGCTGCAGCAACGGCGTTGCGCCCAGGCGCTGACCCGAGACTCTGTGGCTCTTGCGTGCGTGGCTCTCCCTTGCTGCTGCTGCTGCTGCTGCTGCTGCTATTGCTGCTTGTGGTTCTGTTCCCGTGGCTTTTGCTGCTGCTGCTGCTGCTGCTGTTGCTGCTGCTTTTTGTTCTGTCTCAGCAGCCGCTGCTGCTGTTACTGAAGCTTATCTTGCTGCCGCTCTCATCGCTGCTGCGCGTGCTGCATCTCTACAGCGTCTGCTGCTGCTGCTGCTGCTGCTGCTGCTGCTGCTGCTGCTGCTGCTTGCC